TAAAATATTTGAATAAGTAAGTTATTAATAAGTATTTGTTTATTAGAGAAAAAACAAATGGATGTTAAAGTCTATGAGTGGAATTATACAAAGAAAATTAAACAGTCAAAAGAGCTAAAAGTATATCACAATGTACAGTTAGCACAGCTGTATCTGACTTAAACATGGTTTATGCGGCTGATCTGCATATTGCATGTCCATGTTGTTTACATTTTTTTAACGAAACTTGAATGAACATTCTAACAAAATAGATTGAAACTTGTAACATAAGTAACAAAACTATATGAAAATAACAATAAAACTATGTGAACAGAAAAAGAAAGCTATAGGAAGAATATTATTATAATATAACACTACGAAATAACCATTAAATATTTTGTTTTTAAATTTTATTTATAAAAATGAAGCTTCCCCGACTGGGAATCGAACCTATGTCTGCTGGGTGACGGACGGAGACACTGACCACTACTCTACCGAGGAGATGTGTATAAAGAACTTTTGTACTTTATATTCATTAATTAATTTATCACATTCTGTGAATAACGTTTAGCGTTATCGGCAGACCGAAATCTGTGAATAACGGCGAGCGTTATCCGCACAGCTCTGTGAATAATCACTTCGTTCGTTTCGTTTTTTTAATCCCAACCTCTCACTTCTGGTACCCGGGTACGAATAGCCACTTCGTTTTGGGATACTGCATGGTTGGTAAATAGAGGACACCAGCAGTCAATGCGTTGTTTGCTGGTCGCTTAGACACCGGTTTCCGCCTCTCTCTTTTTTCCTGTTTCCTTTTTCACCGGCACTCTTCCTTCTAAGTAAGCTAAGCATGTCAATAATAATGTTAAGGATAGTACTCTGAATCGAATGTGCTAATACCGACTATGTGACAGTCACATGTTCTCTATTTCATCAATGCATAATTTAGTTTAATTAACCGGGGAACGCAAGAAGAGATTGTTCAGAAACGGTGACGGTGTCGATCCCCGTAAAATACCCTAAATAAATATAATTAATTAAAAGTGATTAATAATATTATTATTAATAATTAATTGATTGTTGATAATGATAACGAAGGGTAGCGGGTGCAGACGGTACTCAGTATCGTATCAGTACACTTACACTACTCAGCCTACTGTCTGAAAGTGAGTAGTAGTAGTCACGGAATTTACTGGGCCATAGGCATAGGCTTGAGGCTTGAGAGTATAACAATAACTGCTCACTGGTCGTAGTATCCGAGGCGTGCCATGTCCATGTTGTCAGTTGTCTGTTGTATATATGTGGTCTGTTATTTGACTATAAACTTGATTACGGTACCAATTTCAATATTTTCAAACATAAAACCAGCAATGCATCAGTAGGATTTTGGCGTAGATGTTGTAAGCATTCTTCTGTTTTAAAATGTAAAAAATCTTTCTTTTGTTGTTAATGATAGGACTAAGTCTAAGAGTAGTAAGAGTGACTTTATATTTTTGGATAAAGGAATTATTACATTTTCGCCTGGAGTAGGCCCTACTGTTGCTATATTTTTGTGATTAGAATGTGTAGAATTTTTGGACATAATAATAAACATTGGAACATTTTGTTGAATAAACCCATAATAACTATTGCAATTACTATTACAAAAGAACAAAAACGATTTATAAAAAAAAAGTATCATTATTTAGGCTTTGGTGGATTAATAGAAGGAACTCCATTTGACAAAGTTTTAAGGTTTTAAGAGTAAGAGTGTTGATACCACACACAATCCATTATTGAATTTTAGAAGAGCTTGCTTTTTATTTCAAGGTACTGGACAAAATGTCTATCTCACCATTCAGACGATATGATTCTATAAAGAGCCGTCAAGCAAAGTCTTTCTCAGCAGCCGTACAGTTTCAAGATGACTCTTACCACATTTTGGATATAGAAATTGATAATAATGGTTTTGAGACATGTCAAACGGGTATATGTGATTTTGACCAAAAACAGATTGCTTTGTTCAAGTACCATGAGATTCCAGATTTCCTTAAAGGAAATCCATATGTTGTCCACGGTTACAGATCTCTGCTTCCATTTTCAATGTGCATGAAAAGGTAAGCAAAAACTTAATAATACTTCTAATAATAGCTTTTTTGAATCCATTTTAATTATTTGAGGCAGTGGAGTAGCAAGGGTTAGTACCGCCCAGGGCAGGCCAAGGTCTTTGCTAGCCCCTTCCATGAAAGATAAAAACCTTGGCAGTTGGCCAAAAATCCTGAAACTCAATATAAAGAAAAAAAGTGTCACCCTGGGCGGCCTGCACCTCAGCACCCCACTTCATACGCCACTGATATCATATCAGATGGGTGAAAAATTTAATGGTCTTGAAGATATTTTTTTTATTGAGCAGGAGGCAATATTATATTTCGAGACATAAAGGTTTTGCTAATAAAGTTTGGATTTGTTATTTAAAAAGTAATTTAATTTAAGCATTTAAATAATTATTTCTAGTCTTGTTCTCTATTCAATTTTATAACATGTTAATAATATAATACCATAAAACAGCCACACAATTATTTACAGTTTTTTGTAATACTTGATACCGGTATTTAAATTTTATATTTCTACATGCTGATTCTGTTTTGGCATTTATACTTTTTTCTTTTCAGTTTGTTGTTTTGGACCAATGAGACATTAAACATCTGGACTCATTTTCTAGGCTTTTTCATTTTTCTTCTTCTCGTTCTGTATGATAACATCGTATATCTACCTAGTCTGGGGGGATCACTTTCAGATCACATTATCCTTACTATAGGACTCATGTGCTTTATGGTAAGTGGTATTCATCAATGTGTTTGAAATGCATTTAATTATTCTTTTCTTTAAAAAAAAAAAAAAAATCTGTGATTTTTGTTGTCACCAAAGAAATTTATTTAAGTTAGTTGCTAAGGAAATCAGTATTTATTATTTTGTGATCTATTTTTTAAATTTCAGTTTTGTATGCTTTGCTCAACTGGCTTCCATATATTCTGCTGCCATTCTGAGAGAGCAAGTCGAAGATGGCTAGCCCTGGACATGACTGGTGTTTCAATGGGTATAATTGGATGCTACTTACCAGCTGTTTATTATGCATTTTATTGTCTTACAGTAAGTAAATATTTTCTTAATATTTGCATGGTGTGTAATTCTTTTTACTGTATCAGAAAGACAAAAATAGTGAAACTCAATGGTGTGATGTGTGGTGGGGTTTGTTAATTCGACCAATAAAGAGTTAATTAATGTCAGAAATACTTCAGGAAATAATTAATTACTAGCTTACCCACAGGCATATTCTTTTACTTATGTTTTTTTAGGATCTACACTATAAATATTTTAATATAATTGATTATGGAAAGTTAGAATTATTCTTAATGCCTTTGATTATGTTAAAACTTTCAAACATCAATAAATTAATGTTTTTCCTACATACACTATTTACATGCAAGGAGTTTATATAAGAATTTTGGGTTTAAATATATCATCTCAATATAAATTATTATTGCTGTTCATAAAGATGCCAAGAATTTTAAAGCTGTTCATTATTTCAAGTATTATAGAAGTTTATATTTTATTTTGATTTTTCAGATCTGGCGTGACATCTACATGTTCATCATCACAGTACTATCAGCCTGCACTTTAATGTTTCAGTTACATCCACATTTTTTCACTCACAGCTGGTTTTTTACACGGGTTGCTGTATATGTAGGACTGTCAGCATATGGGATTATTCCAACAATTCATTGGATCTATCTCAATGGTGGAATTTCTTCTCCAGTTGTACAGGTGGGCTATTTCCTCTCTATAGGCTTTGTCATTTCTTAGACCGGAAAACGTCATAGGGTACTATTTTTAGAAGGTCAGCGAACAAATATTGCTTAAAACATGGCAGCTTATAGTGTGTTTCAGCATATCGTTCGGACGATCCTTGTATCTCGAGTTACTGTTACATTTGCCGTTCAAGCAATGAAGTCGCATTTCAGAAAATAGAAGTTGCTTAAAACATGGCAGCTTATAGTGTGTTTCAGCATATCGTTCGGACGATCCTTGTATCTCGAGTTACTGTTACATTTGCCGTTCAAGCAATGAAGTCGCATTTCAGAAAATAGAAGTAAAAAAAAAATATGTAAAATATTTCGTAAAATAGAGTTGTAAACAAATTTCAAGGACACTTCGCTAACATAGTAATACTGAACAGTGTTGACATTTTGTCCGCGCTGAGTACCCGGATGATGAGTAATAATGACATCAGTTCTATTAATAGATTTCCGCCATTAAATGACAAGCCCTATTAAGTTAATTTCTATTTTCTAAGATGATTTTTGTTAACCTCATAACTTTAAAAATAATATCTAAAAAATATTTTTTTGCATTAGGTTTTCATTTTTAATTCATTTTTTTATTTTTAAAATTGATTCTGAGCACCTTTTAAGTTATGAAACAAATTCTATTATGTTCGTTAAAGAATTTAGGTGTAAGATAATTTTCTAAATTTCCTTTTAAAAAAATATATTTAATATCTGTGTAATTTTTTCTCCCTTCCATTAGCATGCTTGTTGCTTTCTGCAAATTCTATTAAAGGAACCTTAAAATTTCGCTGCCCTGACACATGTGCTAACTCACCCTGGGGTGGAACAAGTTTTTAAAACTGGCTGAACCTTCTGAAAGCTTTTTTCCTGCAAATAATTCCACTTCTGTTTGGGTCCAAATGGTTTTGGGTTATTTGCAGGTTTCACAGTATTCCTTCACCATGATGATGGGGTTGAAAATTACATTTTTCTCTATATATAACTTTGTTTGTCAATTCTATGTTTCAGATGTTTATTCCAAAGGTGACAATGATGTACATGTTGGGAAGTCTGGCATTTTCATTCTACATCACTAAATTTCCAGAAAGAATTTTACCAGGTTTGTGACAGCTACTGAAGAAATTTAATTACCTAAACCTATTCTCTGTTCAACTAAAACTTGCTCGGGGCAAACCATTTGGAAGATGAACTTCATGAATGGATTATTAAATTTAACAGCTTACTATACTAATCTTAACATCATCATTCTGTGAATAAAATAATTAAAATATTCAAAACCGGGTAATACTTTTTCCGTGGTTTTTTTTTTCAATTGTTCAGGCCCATGATTTATCAAAGGTGGTGTTTTACTTTCCCATTTTCTTTGAAACATTTAGTCTTGAATTTTTAAAGATTATTTATGCTCACTGGCTTTAGAACTTCTACTTTCCTTAAATAACATGTTTAAAATTTATACAAATTTTTTGTTACAGGAAAATTTGACTACATTGGTTCTAGTCATCAGCTGTGGCATATAATTATTGTCGTTGCTTTCTGTTACTGGCATAAATCAGGAGAGGAAATTCTTATATACAGGATGAACCATGAATGCCCAGCCTAACTCGCAATAAGTTGGATCAAATATTTACACAAATTATACAAACTTATTTTTAAATTACCTTCATTAAAAAATAACTATTCATTAAATTTTTGTTTTATTTACATTTTGAAATAAAGAGATCATGATTTTGTTGATATCGTTGAATTTATTTTTTGGGGTTACCAGTATTAATTAGTATTATTGACTCTTTTTTTATGTCTAATGTATAACATTTTCAGTAAGTTTTGTAAGTTAGTTTTGTCCACAAGAGTTCTTGTTTGTGGAATGTAAACTTTTTTTATTTTAAATGATTGTTTTACTTACCAGTTATAATTAATGTCACCATATAGGACCAATTTATGGATGGCTTTGAAAATTAAAACTATTAATGAAAACATTTGCAAGACAAAGTCTACATTAAGGGGGTCTAACCTTTTAGCTTCCCTGGGCCACATTGGTAGAGGTAGAAGATGAGTTGTTTTGGGACACACATAAAATACAATAAAGATATTAAGCAAAAAAATATATAATTAACATATTTGAATAATTTAAGTTAATTTAATATTCATTAATTTTTATTATGTAAGCAACAAGACAACAAGAAGAAATTTATGAGATTTCTCACTTTTTTTTTTTGTGTGGAGATATGCTGAAGTAGCTAAGTTACAATTCTCAATGAGTTCTCAATGTGCTCATCAGATATCTCATTTCTAGATTTTTTCTTCATGTGTTTCATTTTCATCCTAGAAAATAGCAACCGAATGGTGATGATATGCATAAGATATAATTGCTAAGTGAGAGATTTTTTTCCTTAGAAGAAATATCTTCTATAAGTCCGGCAAAGTGTAATGATTAAACTTTTCTTTAAGTTGAATTTTAGATTGTTGCTCTATGCATTCCATTTGAAAATTGGCAGGTAATATGTTTAAGTCGACTGTAAATGGAGTTGGCAATATACCAAAAGATAGATGATTTTTCCGGTAATTCTTGAAACCTGTCCTCAGATTCTGTATATAATTAAAAAGTATGACGGCATATTTTTCATTGTTCACAAGACATTGTCTAACAAATGTATTGATAAGAATAAAATTGTTTGCCTAAATTTGAGATGGCCATAGTTTCACTTTCATTTCAAAAACTGTTAGTTTGAAACCTATATTGGTCACTTGGTTTCACATTGAAGACGCATGATTAACTCATTTAAATAAGGGGTCATCTACTAAAATAGCAAATCTGTCAGCCAGTTTTCACTGTCAAGTTCTGGCACAAAATTTCTTTTTGATGCAATAAAAAATTTTATTTTATTTTGCAAATCATAAAGTCTATTCAACACTTTACCTAGATTTAACCATCTTACCTCTGAATAATAAATGATTTACCTAAAGTCAGCATCTATGATTTTAATGAGTTCCCAGAATAGGTGATGATGTAATCTCTTTTGGCCCGAAGGAAATTTACAGCCTACATAACATTATCTCTTACAAGCTTTAGTGCATATTTTCTTGGTGATGTTTCATGATTCATAGTAAGTAAATTTTAGGAGGCATCGTCTTCAATAAATTTTATAAGTCCATCTCTTTTATTTATCATCACAGGGTACCATCAAATCACTGAAACATACTTTAGTACATAAAATGTCTTACAGTGTGACATAGGATTATAGAAACTGCTTTAAACAAGCAAGTCTTACCAGCGAAGACAACATGGCACCATGGGGAAATACAAAAAAAAAAAAGAAACCCTTTGTCTTACGCAAAAATAATGTGGGACCTGTAAATGTTAATGGTATTTTTAGTTGCACTCTCATAAAGTTTGTAAGTTTTAAGATTTTTTGTTTGGCCGTTTCATAGCCATCCTGGGCCACAGGTTGGACACCACCTGTTCTACATAATGGTGTGCTGAACCTTGAATTGAATAAAGATATTTTGGTACACCATACTTATGTATCATTCAACAAAACAAAATCTATTACATATTCTCAAAGTATTCATCTCAAGATGGGTGTCAAGGGTATGAGAATCACTGTTGTTATGTGTAGATCATTGTTTTCATGTTTGATAGGGAAAAGATGTTTAGTTAGAGATTATAAGTGAAGCTGTATCCTTTGTGTGAGAGTGTTGTGATGTAATTGTGTAAGGGGATATGTTTTAGTTGTTATAGAGGACAGAGATGGTGGTTGTGTGCTGTTCAAGAAATAGCTTGTTGTATGATGTTCAGGGCTTAGCTTTCTATTTGTGAGGATTCAGCTAGACAGATAGTGAAGTTGATAAGTTTACAAGTTGTATTGTGAAGTACACTTTTTTTTCAGGCTTACGATGCATATTAAAATTATACATTGAACTCATTGGTATGTGTGGTACTAGGATGTCCCATGGTTGAGGGTCTGGATCAGAACAGTGGATGACCACAGGACATCAAGAGTTACATTTCGACAATGGGAATAACATCTCCAGCTGAAAAAAAATTGGTTTGACTCAGATATTCATGGCTGAATGTTCCATAAAATTTATCTCACCCATTTTAGTAAGAACTCAAAAAAAAAAAAAAAAAAAATTTTGACAATTTTTGAAAAAAAATTGGTTTGACTCAGATATTCATGGCTGAATGTTCCATAAAATTTATCTCACCCATTTTAGTAAGAACTCAAAAAAAAAAAAAAAAAAATTTTGACAATTTTGAGATTTTAAGTTTAAATATTAAAATGGGGTAGAATTTTAAACTACTTTTTCACATTCCAACTAAAACTTATTTGTTGCTTTTAATTTAAATTAATAACAAAACAAGTAAGTTGTCCTTTCCAATTTTATTACTCATAGGTTCATAATTTAAAAGAATTAAAAATCTTCACATCATGATGTGTCAGCCAATTTTATAAACATAACTAATTTAAGCAACATTTAACCAGTAAATCTTTAACACTTGTAATTTGTATGAATATATCTGAAATTTACAGCTTCATTTTCATTCACACACACACAACTGAAATCAGCCATGTGCAACTGTCTCTTTCATAGTCATTGTCTCAGCTATTTCAGTTGTTTTTTTATTAAAATGTAGACAGAAGTTTAAGAAAAAAATTATTTGGGTACGTAATTATTTAATGGCAACATCAAGAACAGAAAATATATTTTATAGATATATATATAAAAGAAAAAAAGATATTTATTATAATAATAGTAATAAAAACACATCAAAATGTTTTAATAAAACAAAGTTTTCTTTTGTCTTTTAAATAAATTTTGCTTGAGACAAAACTAAAAAAATAAGTCCACTACTTGGAGAAAAAAATCTAACAAGATACAACAATCAAAACATTTGAAAGAAATCATTTTATGATTCAGCCAAAGAGGAAAATGGTTTTAAATATTTAAAAAAAAAAAATGTTTTACTGTCAAATATTACAGTATAGCAATATTATTACTAATGTATGTCCTGAAATGTAATTTGTTGAAGGAGAAAAAATGGAGAAAGAGAAATGTATGAAAGAATTTGGGATAACAGACAAACACCAAACTCATGTGACAATTTAACTGGTCAACTTCTACTAGGACTGTGAAACTAATCTACTGATTTAAAACTGCACAGCTACTAGTGAAATGCATTGTTAAATCAAACCAATAGTTTCAGGACCTGAATCCAAATTGAAATTTTAGGGCGGACGATATATTTATTGGCTTTCTAAATGAACAATGTTGACATCACTTAGTCTCATCTTGCAAATTCACAATTGAAAAAAAAAATTAGTAACTAAAATGCCAAAATTTGAAATACCTTTTTGAAAAACATAAACTAAGTCCATTTCATAAATAGTCCCTTCGTTTACCTTTAAATTTAAATCAATTTATAATCCTCTTTTTTTTAAAATGTAAAAAATTTATAACTACCCAGAGCTGAGAATAAGTAACTACTGGTAGTGCTGAAACTAATTCTGCCATAGCGTGGTTGTTAATTTGGTACTAAATATGTCATATTGGAGAGATTGGTGGTTCTCTGGAATGTTTGGCAGTAATAAAATTAAAATGAGGGGGTTATTTCAAATACACCAACACTCAGAAATGTGTGAACCTATATAATTTTATCATGCTTAATTTTTTGTTTAATTGAGCAAATTATTTTACAGCAATCAAATGATTTTCATCTTAGACAACAACAAAAAATAAATTTAATGTTATAGATGGGATATGGATTTTTTTAACACTCAATATACATAATAGATATTTTTACATATTAATGTTCAACATTATGAAAGCTTCTTTTGCAGGACTAAAAACTATATCAAATTATTAAATCATAAATATAAGAGATAAAAATAAAATATGGAGGTGACCACTTCCACAAAAATATCAAGCAAAAATTTTAATATGAAAGGTTTTTAATTAATTTTTTTTTTTTTAAATGTGCTCTCATTCCTGATTTTTTTTGTACCAACTAATGCAAATACTGATTTCTTGCACACACACAAAAAAAGGATAATAATTTCACAAAATGTTGTTGAGATATTTGGTTGAATAATTTATATAAGATCTATTCAACTCAGCAGCGCACTCCTTATTTGTAGATCACATACAACATAGAAAAAGTGTGAGAAATAGGACTTTTTAAACTACCCAATACTTACAAAGAGCATTTAAATCTAAAAAAACCCTGTGTCCTGTTATTTTCTTTTCATCTCTAAATATCCTCTAAAAAATTGCAACTATGCAAATTTTAATAAACTGTCAATTCAGTTTATCCACTGAACAAGTAAGAAATAAAATTACAATAAGAAAAATACCAATATTATTTTGCATTTAAAAACAAAACCTAACCTGGTCAAAATATTTAGAGACATTGAAATGAAGGAATCAAGCTTATTTCCATATTTCACTTGCATCACAACCATTTTTTCAAAATTTCACTTGTTAAGATGGATTGTGGGAATTGCGACCTATGTGTCGATCTTTGAAGTTGTCGAGTTTTGGTCCACTTAAGATAGATTGTGTTTCTCCATTACTTGTTCAGCGTTGTATCCAAAGCCATTACAAGGAACTGGGAAAGATTAATAGTACAAACATATAAATTACATAAAAACAATTCCTCAAAATCTGATTGAAGTTGAAAAAAATTGACAATTAAATTCATTTAATAATAACTGTTTTAGCTTAATTCTCAAATATGCTGTTTTCTGCCATTTTTTAATCTTTCTCATTAGGTACCATTACAATCTGGATGCTTGTTCAATGAAGAACATAGCAGTAATATCATGTTATATATCATTGGATTCAGAATTAAATTATCTATTATTCGATATCAGTTATGAAATCAGTTAATTATGGTTTTGATTTATGGCCAAAAGATTAGATGTTTAGGTGTGCTAAATTTTCACAAAAATATAAACATACCACAAACAGTTAGAAGCAAAAAAATAAGTATTTAGTCCTAAGTCAAAATGTTTATTATATCCATCAATGGTATCCATTTTTACAACACATAAAAATTTCAAGAATTTTACCAACCTTTGTATTTATTATGCCACTTTTAAAAAAATACATTCATAAATTTTAAAAAGGGTGCATTTTTTTAATTGTAAAAACTTAAACAAGGCAAGTATTTCATGAGAGAAATACTATTATTAGTAGTAAATGATATAAGTGGAATTAAATAATTTTAACATATATAAAAAAGAAATATACCACACTTGGTACAAATAAACAAATTTGGGTATGAAATATGACAATTTCTGTTTTCCAAAGATTTTCACATTATATCTTTACTGTAAGTAGCCAATGCAGTTTTAACATCATAGTTATACCATAATCATTCATATTGCTGCAGCAGAAACATGAGCATTGTCAACAAAGTTTGTCACAGCCTGATTAATCTACTGAGGAACTAAAAAGACTACATCTACATGTCAGGTCTTTTTAATTATTCAAGTCATGCCTTTTGTTTTCTTCGGATTAAAATAAATCTTCCTATGAGCCTAACAATAGAAATTAATTAAAATGAAAGAATAAGTCTTGGGAGTCTTGGCTACTGTTGTTTTCTTCTACTATCCATATGTTGTCCAAATTTTTTGTATCTATTCCAAAGCTGATATCTTTTATCAACTAATCTTATCACAGTCCAATGAACTAGCCACAATAGTTGCATTTAGCTTAAACTACAATAACAACAGAACCATTTATACTAATTAATTAGATATTGAATCAGCAAGAACCAATCATTCATTTTCATTCATGTTGTTCCTTACCAGTATTGTGTTACATTTATGAAATGAGTATGTCCTATACTCTACCGCTTTTCTTAATTATTATGGTTGCTCCAGTTACAGATGAAATTAACTGTACCTGCTTATGAGCAGATTAATCAGATCTTTCTTTAGAAACTTACTATACTGGCCTAAAAACAATTTATGAATTCCATAATCCAGTGAATAAAATCCATTTATACAGTGACAAGTCTTACTAGGGCTGGTAGGTTGGACTTCCAATGAATGTTAGAAATTTGGTTAATCAGCTGGAATGTGCAGTTTTAAAACCTAGTGGGCTTAGTTGCCATACTATTGCAGTTGTGTACATTTACAAAGCATCTCCAACCTTGATGATGTAAATTGAAGTTGAAAAGTGATAAAGGTGAATGTACTCCTTATCTTGTCTTGCTTTTGGACAGGTTTCAGTAGTAAACAGGTCTTATGACAGAAATAGCATTGCCATGATGATTGGGTTACCTAATGTCCTAGTCACCACTCTGATACTGTGAAATGATTATAAAATTTAAGCTTTACATATAAGCTTGGATCATATAATAAAAAAAAAAAACTTACCAAAACTAAATACTTTATTCAATTAAAAATAATAAAAATTCAAAATTAAAAGCTGTTTTTATCCTGAATAAATTAGGACTGAAAAGTCATTGCCTCTTCTTAGAGTATCCAATATAAACAAAAAAGAAATTGCAAACAACTATGCCTGTGGAAAAAAAAAAGATAATAAAATACACACTTGATAAACTGGAACAAGAAATTAATATGGTTAAGTTAAATAATTATTATCAACATATATGAAGTTCACTATTACATTACATCAATGTAAAGATATTTTTTCCCAATATTTCCACAAAATTTATGTGCGTTTAGACCCGTCATAACACACAAAAAATCTTACCACTGATAGCCAAAGCCAACTTTCAATCAGGCGAAAATGCAAAAAATCATCAGTAGTCACGAATTCTTCTTGTTTCTATTGGCCCGGTTTCACTTTTTGACTTGAAATATCATCAACAACATTTTTGGAAAATAAATGCTGAGTTCTTTTGTGTCATTTTTTGCTACCGGCCTTCAGTGAAGTTTCAAAGGATTGGCAATAAGGCGGACGAAAATGCGTCGTCAAAAAAAACGAAACACAATGCATGGAGTAAATTTTTTTATTACAAATCTAAATTTACGCTTAAAATTGATATTTTTAACAACTTTTACCACGTATTTTATAATTGTACGTTGAAAATGACTTGGAGAAAAAAATCCAGTTAGAATCTGGCGATCACATGTGATCGAAAAGTCAATATTAAGAGTTAAATGAATCATTTATAATAAAATAAATATTTTTTTTTTAGATTTAGAGGAATGTCAGTACCTCTTCATAGCCAATGTTTATCTGTCCAGTTTGATTTGTATCCTTTTCTCTAAACTTGTCTGTTAAAGATTTGAGCATGACGCAGGCTTGAATAAAGTCATCAAAATTAATGGTGTAACCTCCTCGGTTACGATCAAACACTCGAACAACAACCTGGCTGAACTGAGGTGATCTGAAAATGAATAAAACAATGATCATGATAAAATCTTATTGTTAGTTACTTCACACGATTTTAGTTAAAATTATGTCGTTAAAAAAAGAAGACTAGAAGAATGGTTGTCTCTTCCTAATGACATATTATTTGCATGAGCTTAGATATCTTCTAAAACAATAACAAGAAGAACAGATGAGACCAAGTGATAACAATATTGTTCATTGAATACTAACAGCCTGTAGCCAAATGTTTGAAAGGCATTGCTGAGTTCATTTGCATCAATATTCCCTGAGCGATCAGCATCAAATCTGAAAAGAAAAATAAAGCAACTTTAAATACTGATATGATGCCTTTTCTTATAGTGCAATTATCATATTATATAATAAATATTTTACAACACTCACGTATTTTAGGCAATGCTTTGTTTTAAAATAAATATTTGACATGTTTCCTATGAAGTTAAGGGAGAGAGCAATAATATAAAAACTGTTGTGACCATTTTTCTTTATAAGAAAACCATTAATTTCACTAAATTTTGTTGTTCATGAAGATTAAATGAAACAATGACTCCCAATATTCATATAATTCTATGTTAAACATTTTTTGTTGCTATTGAGACATCTTTCTTATTGTACAGTTCTGAATTCCATTTCTAATGCAGAATTTGAGATATTCTCACCAACAAGCAGGATCAGAGAAAAGGTCCTCATATGATACAGAAATGTTACCGAGATACCATACCAAGATTAACTTTAATACCTATCAAAACAAGATTTCCAGTCTTGAATGTACTTCCACAACGCAGCAAACTCATGGATATCAATGGTGCCACTTCTGTAAACAAAAGGTTTTGAAAGGTGTTTATAAAAATAAATTAGAGTGACAGCATTTTCTGAAGTAAAGGCAACAACGAAATAATCTAGCACGAGATTTGATTATACAACCAATATTAATAAAAATATATAGTTTCAAATACCTGTCTTTGTCAAACATGCCGATCATTAATCTGCAAGTTTCAGGATTAAATGGTGACCAGTTACCATTCATTAATGCCTGTTGTAGTTCTGTAGCTGTGATTTTGCCAGAGTTGTCTACATCTACAGACTATTAAATAAATCAAAGAAAATAATTGCAGGTAAAAAATGAATGATACAGCAATGTAACTGAATTTGGACATAAGATGCTCATAGCAGGGTTCTTGAAATTTAGTATATTCATTCATACAAACAAACAAAAAGTGTGTAATTTTTTTTTTATTCTTGAGCAGCAAAATCACAAATCCACTAAAATGAGTCCAACTTCAGCATCTCATAAAATTACCTATCATATTAACTTTAAACGTCCCACTGCTATTGGCACAGGATTTGAATTCCCCTATCAGCTCTATACATGTCAAGTGCACTTTTCTGTAGTGTCAACCCAATGTCAGCATGTTCATATGGTTGACAAAAATGACAAAATACCATACTAAATGAATTCAGAGACCCTTACAAGTATACATTTTCTTAAAATACATTGGACAATTTATCTTATGGTATGAAAAGAATTTGTTTTTTTATTATGTATGTTGTGATTGACCTTTACAGAGTGAGTAAAATTTTACTATTCAACTTCTTAATTCAACCTAACCTAATTCTCCATAAATTGTTCAAATTATCATAAAATCAAGTTTTTGAGATATTAGAAAGAATATTATTTAAAATATTCTTGGTGAAATTTTTTATTCACTGCCTTCAAATTTCTGTCATACAAAATACAAAGTGGAAAGCACAAAATAAATTCTAAAATGCCCATTAGCTTGAATTTGAAGATATGAAATTCATTTTTTATTAATGTTAATGCTCCAGAACACACACAAACATAAATGTCTTTAATTCCTTAAAGGTATGTCAAATTTTTGTATATTCAGTAACATTTTCACCCTTTCCCAAATGAATCGGTCTGTAACAACACAACTAAGCTTAGGGCTAAAATTGTCAAATCTGACACTTTTATGTCGCCATCACTGATTGAGCTAATACTGTCATTATTAGCACATGGAATGTCTCTAAAATTATTGCTTCATTTTAATACATTTGATATAATTCCAATTAATTTGCAATCTAGAGGAGGACCCTCCCCAGCAACAGACATTATGGCGCTAAAAGAAATTGAGCGAATTTCACTCCCGATTAATAACCAAAAAAGAAAAAAGGCCTGATAAAAGCAAAGAAACTGAAATAAAAATCAAACTCATTTATTTAAATGATTGAGTGATTTCCTCCTTACCAATACACATTAACTCATTCCCATTTTTAATGACGATATTGCTAGCAGCCTATTACATCAGCTGTGACATCCCAGAAACAGCTGAAGATCGGGCGTTATGACAGTTTAAGGGTTAACATAATAAGATTTTATGGATACAAATTATCGTGTTATAGTGAGGTTTCACTGTATATATTTTCTCAGAGGATACAGTATGTACACAATAAATTAAGAAATTTAATGTTAATTCTTCTTGTTCTGCAAATACAAAGATAAAACAATAATATTTCTAATGAATAATTTTAAAATATATTTAGTACTTTTATTAAAAACAATGATGATTTTTTTTTAAAATTAGTTATCTTCATCTGTCTCAAAAAGAATCTTTTTGAAAATTTCTAATAAAAAGATAGTGATAGAATGGAAATGATGTCTATAAATAAAATGGAGCCCTTGATAAACAAAACAGTGTTTCGACTGTGTATGCAATTCTTAAAGTTGATACCAAATGCAGATGGATATGAACTTTTGAAATGTAACTGACTAGCTAAAGATAGACTTACTTGAAACCATGTCCACAGCTCTGGATTAACCCCAGCTGGCATTCCACCTGAGCCACCACCATAACCTCCAAGTGATTGTGCACCAAACCCCCCTTGCTGTGTAGCAAAGCTTCCCTGTTGTGCAGCGTATTGTTGGTCTCCAAAACCTTGCTTCTGCCCAGGAGGTGCTCCATATGGTGTTTGTTGAGGATTGCCAAAAGCAGGATTCTGACCCTGAGGACCTCCATATTGTTGCACATTTCCTCTGGGGGGCTGCCCTGAAGGAACACCATATTGTGGTACTTGTCCACCTGGAGCATGTCCTGGAAGACCCCCATAGTTTGGTACTTGTCCCCCAGGAGTTTGACCAGGCGGAGCTCCATATTGTGGTGTCTGGCCTGGTGTACCATATGGCCCAGCTGGTGCTTGACCATAATTAGGTGGTACTTGCTGACCTTGCCCAAATCCCCCCTAAAAAAAGTATTTAAAATGATGGTAATGAATAGTTGATATAATGAAATGTAAGAATCCATTAAAAATAACTTAAACATAACAAGGTTTTTTTAAGAAATGAAAACTATTATACATTTTCAAAATTCTCTGTTAATTTAAAAATCTACTTTTATATTTAGGCCTATAGCAATACATGTTCTGTTTCAAATTGTTTTGAAATTAAGAATAAATACACTTATTTTCTAGGTTATATCAAGCAAAAATTTGTAAAAATGTATACAATAAGATAAACCTAGCCTATAAAATTAGGTCTATATATCATTTGCCTCATAAGATACCAAATATTTAACAATTTAAGACGCTAAATTATATTAGGCATTAGGGTAGTTGAAAAACATGTAAATGTAATGTTAGATTAAGTCCTAAGAGTGGGGTTGGGTGGTGTGTTGGCATTGGAAATTCTTCATTTTCATTCAAATCAAGGCAAAGCTTGTTCTCAAAGGAAGTGTGAAGGGTATAATACTTTAATAGGTCTGTTTTAAAATAATATTCAATTAAACATTTTGACAAGTCTTCTGGATTATGATTAATTAATTTTAATAGCTTACTTATACTTGTTTAATAATTGTAGTATAGATCTGATTCATTCTGATGGTGGAGTAAGACATTGTCATTGTTGATTACAGTTGTCGGGTTGTAGTATCATATATTCAAGGGGGAGGGGGGGTTCGGTTGGGCATAACACTCATGCCACGAAACATCATAGCAGGCCTACAAAGTCCACAGAAGTGACAAGAGTTGGTGTATTTACTGTATTATGCCTAGGTCCCTAGGCCTGACTAAATTTAGATCTAAATAATATTCTAAATTACTATTCATTATTTTACTACTACTACTACCTCCAGTTATAACTTAAAAATCTGAAATGCTTAATTTTTTAAGTAAGAAAACTCACGTATTGTTGTCCACCCCAAGACATTATTAGTTTGATGTTAAAAACGTATTACGAAATAATGATTAAATCACGTCTCAGCCTCAGGTGTAAGTTGTAGTTTTTGTTGACTGACGTCTCTTTCCCTAACTGGCCAAACAACCGAGTCGTCTTAGTGCATGTTAAAATGAAGAAAAACTGGTGGTATCGATACATACCACTAATATTGCCATCTTTTCAAATAAAGTATATTTTAAACAAATATTGTTGTAGTTGTCGGTTTTTTTTTAATTTTGTTACTGCAATTAAAAATATGTTGTTTTTTAAAATTCATTATTCATACGTATTCTCTTTCTAACTAGAATATTACGTTAACAAACAAGTATTAATGAGCTTTCAGCGATATTGGTATCGTTTTGCAAATATGGGAGCTAAATGCCCAAACGTAAAGCAAAGTTATGGTACATTTTCAACCCCAAAAAAACCCCAAAAAACAAACGATTGGGTGTGAATCGTGAAATCCACTTTCGTCCACATTTGGGCTTAGGAAAAAGCCAGTCTCAACAAATGCGCACTTTCTCTTCTACCTTAGAACCTTTCGTTCTTCTAACCACGGATCTCTACATTATTGTTTTTCCCCCTCCTAAATACTGTTCCTGAGTGAAGATTTGAATTGAAACTGACAAATAAAGGGGATAGGGCACCATCAGAGTAGACTGCCACCAGATCAGGCTGCAAACATAACAGGGTGACACTAAATCAGGGGGTCACCAGAGTAGGCAGTTTCGGAATCGGAGGAGGTCCACGGTAAAGTCTGGAGAGGGTTACACCATTAATTACCGAAACGGATGACACCAACTCTAGTTGGTAACGCCACTGATTCACAGTACTGGGAGTCGATGTTCCGATCAATTTATGAACGATGCATTGCATTAACGACAAGCAATAACTGGTAACGTGCGCTGTTTAGCGCCGTTCAATGAAAACTTATCCAGAAATGGGATTTCGGTTGTTTCGGTTCGATGAATTCCAAATGCTATCAACACCAATGGGATGACGAATAATTGACTTCTGTCGTCTGCCACTTCACCAATCAAACAATTGATGAGGCTTTACTTTTGATCAGTTGAAAAGTATTAAGGTTAGCATATAGTCTTTCGTGGCAGGCTCCCAGGATACAAATAAAAAAAACAAAAAAAAACAACAACATACCATAGCATTCTGTCTTGACTTTCAGCTTTGATCGAGTGAGAAGTAAGGATTATTCTGCTAAACAGGGGTTGAACAGTGTAGGGATTAGTGACAAACAGAACATTTATTTATAACTGATCACTCTATCTAAACAAAGAAAAAAACACGCAGCTCATCAATCAAAAAGTGACCACGAAGAAGGTTTATCTCTGAGCTGCCCCCATGTAGGGCCCACCTGATTTTCATTTAATGACACACCAGACGAAGCGTAGGTTGAGATAGCACTTGAGGCAAAAGACCTTCATTTTTTTAATGTATCCAGTACCAAAAAAGGCAATGATGCACGTGCCTACAGGAGCCCGCGTCATTTAGGGGCCCCAAATGACAGGGGATCCAAATGGGGGTTGGAGGGGGACTTAATAATAATTTATTTGATCTTGAACGCGCTTGTAATAACGTAATATATAGTTCTAATGGGAATATCGAAACCTTCTTACACAACAAGTTAAATAATTAGTGGTAGAACAGAAAAAGTAAAGAAAACAACACGTATCCTTAAATTTTCCTACGTATCCTTAACTTTTCCTACGTATCCTTAACTTTTCTTACGTATCCTTAACTTTTCCTACGTATCCTTAACTTTTCCTACGTATCCTTAACTTTTCCTACGTATCCTTAACTTTTCCTAAGACAGAATTTTGAGAAAGGCAACTATTCGTGCTGTTTTTACCAGTGCAGTAACGGGTTTTGCACATTGGTCCTGGTCAGTTGTTAGTTATAGACAAGACATAATTTATAGTCTGAACAATTTTTTTACAAAATGATGAATTCAAAACAAGAGCAAGTACATCTGATAGCGAGACATATTAAAATTACCTAGGAGTGCATTAAAAAGGTAAGTATGCTGGGGAGATCTGCTCGATGTATCAGTGGCGTAGCTAGGGATTTGGGGGCCCGGGGGCTTGGCCTCTTCAGGGGCCCCTGCATTTTGACATTCGACATTATGACATGAGATAATGTACTTAACAAATATATAAGTCTAAATTCAAATTGGTACAGTATATCAGTAAAATTAACAAAAAAATAATCATTAAGACTCTTTTAAGGAATGATACTGCTGTTTATTGGCGAGATAATGCATAAGTGACAAATCTCACGTCGTGCTTTCTGTGCAGCAAAGGCATCTATAACATCATCTGGATCAATGCTGTGTAGTATTTTGACTCCACTGACATTAAAGCCATGTTGTTAAGTCTTTCTTGTGTCAGTGTGCTCCTGAGATAGTTTTTGATCAACTTGAGTTTGAGAATGATCTCTCACATGATGCAATGGAAGTGGCCTGAGTTAGCAGTATTCGGATGGAGGTTGCAAGGTTTGAGCACACATCATTACCATATGAAGCCGCTTCCTCAATATGTCAATTGGTGATTGTGGTACTGGTTTGTTGATTTCATCATACAAACAGGAAAAAGTAATACAGTTTTTCATCAGCGTGTCATCATCCATAGACTCCAATAGGTGTCTTGGGTCAAGAAGAAACTGTAACACATGCTACTCTACTGTCATGTAGCATGGTTAGATAATACGGTCCATGGTTAAGCTGTGATGAGACATTGACCTCGACCTTCTATTCACTTCGAGCTGTGATGAGACATTGACCTCGGCCTTCTATTCACTTCAAGCTGTGATGAGACATTGACCTCGGCCTTCTATTCACTTCAAGCTGTGATGAGACATTGACCTCGGCCTTCTATTCACTTCAAGCTGTGATGAGACATTGACCTCGGCCTTCTATTCACTTCAAGCTGTGATGAGACATTGACCTCGGCCTTCTATTCACTTCAAGCTGCGATGAGACATTGACCTCGGCCTTCTATTCACTTCAAGCTGCGATGAGACATTGACCTCGGCCTTCTATTCACTTCAAGCTGCGATGAGACATTGACCTCGGCCTTCTATTCACTTCAAGCTGTGATGAGACATTGACCTCGGCCTTCTATTCACTTCAAGCTGTGATGAGACATTGACCTCGGCCTTCTATTCACTTCAAGCTGTGATGAGACATTGACCTCGGCCTTCTATTCACTTCAAGCTGTGATGAGACATTGACCTCGGCCTTCTATTCACTTCATGCTGTGATGAGACATTGACCTCGGCCTTCTATTCACTTCAAGCTGTGATAAGACATTGAACTCGGCCTTCTATTCAGGTATATCCCAAAATGAATCTTTGTATTAAGAATTTACAAAAAAATTATCAGTATTTTTTTCCCTCTCCACAGACCCCTACCCGCACTTTGGTTTGGCTCTGGAGCCCTTGATTTCCCCCCCCTCTCCCCACCGGCAATCAAACGTTACTTACCAGCATTTGAAGGATACAAGGATTTTACTCGAACCCGAAGCAAATGTGGTGTTATTTGCAGGTTCAGCTAGTGTTAAAAAAAGAGCGAGTTGATGCATATGTTTTCCTTTTTTTTTTTAAAAAATGCACTATATGTTTTTAAGACCGGCAAAATCAACGCACGCCCCCAGGCGGCACACTGTCTCACTAGATTTGCTGCGTCTTGGACCGGGAGGTGGGGTGGTGGGGGGGCGAGATTTGTGTAACGTAAACAAAAATAATGTCTTTAAAATACACAAAGAAACAAAATTTATTGTTAATAGCTGATGCTTTAATGATCTTTTACGGTGATTGATGATTCCTTAATTACTTTTGTATCATGTTGCTTTGATTTAAAACAAATAATTTAATGACAAAAATCGCGAAACTGACTATACTTAAACAGTCATGTCTACAAGTACACATGTTTTGTATTTTTAAGTTTCTTGGACTCGCAAAACGAAAATATAATTTATTTACTTTTTTATATACGAATGTCCCGCCAAAAAATTAGTAGTTTTTTTTTTAATGTGAAAATTGAGTTTGGTGAATTTCTTACAAGTTATGTCCTCTCATGTTTAGCTTGTCTATTGCTTTCTCCGTTTTTCTTGTTTTCTCTATTTCATTACTACTCTGGACCTGTGGCCCTTTGGATTAAATGAAGTACAAAAGGAGGAATGCCCCGTTAGTGCACCTTTGAAATCATCCCCGCAACTCGTTCATAGATCAAAGCAAATGGACATAACTCCATAAAGTTAAAGTATCATAGATCATGTCTCACTATTTTCAACATTTACTCCCCCCTCTCCCCCCCNTTTGAACACAAAAACCCCCCCCCCCCCCCCCCCCCCACACACAAAACCAACAATAGCGTCACATTTTTTAAACTAAACATTTTTTTCCAAAAAAAAATGAACAACGAATTAAAGTCTAATCTAAAACGCACGTCACTATTAAAAAAAAAATATTGATAAAAGTGACATCTTCTGACAGGAGTGCATCTATACATCACAACAGAAAGTTGAACATCACTGTCAATTTCAGCTTTCTTAGACCCCCACCCCCAGCCGGGGCGTGCGTGCTTTATGGACGACCCCTTAGAAACGTAAGTATTATTTTAAATAATTTTTGAAGAAATAACAAATAAACACGAAAATCAAGTTTCAGATGATGAAACAATTAATCAATTATTGTAGAGCCTATTGAAATTGAATGGATCACGTGATATGCCAGCCCTGTTAGGAACCCCACAGACATTCAGCCATCATAAAGGCTGGAGGGCCTTCACGGTGTAATTCTGCTTAAAATTGTATTGAAAACTGCAGCCATCTTATTTAGGATAATTTGTTACTTAAAGCCACTTAAAGGTAAACACACAGTTTTTCTTACTTTTCATAATATTTTTTTTTTTTAATTACTATGTTAATGTTACTAAAATACAAAGTGGATGATTTGGGGAAAAAAAAAAGTGAGTGATGGGGGGGGGGGGGGGGGAGGAGCTTAAATAATAAAATAAATTTGACTCGTTAGGCTGGTCTCTCCGATTGACCCACCCTTGACCTCCATCTCATCGCCGCCACTGCGTCTACTTAGAATGATTAGCAAGAGGATTGAACTCGGAGGCTAGCGTGATACTTATCTCACCAGGCCAAAC